TGAAAGACGCTCGTTCATGTCTAAAAATATTATCGATTCCCGTCCCGAAACAGGGAAAATTATTTCGCCGATATTTATAATTTATTAGAACGAAAAAAGAGCTTGGGAAATATACGACAAGCAGTTTTCTTTCATTTGACAGACTATAATATCTATATACATTTATCGAGGTGTCAAAAACGGCCCGATGGCCCCGCCAAGGAAGTAAGAAATAAACCTGGCAGTATTTGACAATGTTTTCGTGCAGCGCTATCATCAAATGGAACTCTGTGTTTATCAAGTTTTAGAACATTATATTAATTTTGGAGGGAACAGCTCAATTACAGCGTAGCGGTAGGTTATTAGTTTCTTTTGTCACACCACATTATAATGGTCAATAATACATATAAAAAATTATATAGTACGGTCGAGCGGTGGATTAAAAAATTGCTGTTCATCAGTGGCGTTAACACCGCCAAATTTACAGATTAGAGTACGCGAGTGGCAACAACTAGTATAGCTCGTAACACACTTTCTACGGATGTCATTTCAAAACATGTTAGTTGTATAGCATTATTCGATGAAGTCCAAGTATTGTTTTCAAACTAGAGGCCTTAAGGAACAAACTTTTGCAATTCCATGCTCAACTGAAAATCGTGTGAAAATTGTGCGCATGCACAAAAACATGACTCGTGGCAACATGCAAAAACGTGCATTTCATGTACAACTACAGATTTCGTAGAATTCTCATTAAACATTGCCTTTCGGGTAAGGCTCATTTAATTTCAAATTTTTAAATAATTCAATTTAAACTAAATGCTGAAGTAGAGAAATTAATCGGTTTTGAAATCTACAGCTATAGCGGGAGAGAGCATCCCAAAATTAGACATTTTGGTTGAGCTAAATGTTAAAAAATTCGGAAATTATGGCGGAGTGAAGTTGGCAAATTTTGTATAAACTATATATTACTAGAAACTAGTTTTACACGGGGAAAAGTGACACTACATTTGAAAAATAGTGATGCTTTTTGCGCAAAACAATGACTTATACAAAATATGTCAACTTCGCAAGCTGATGTCTTTTACCAACATTCGACATCACAGTCAAGTGTATAATATATCAAGCTGCCTGTAACAGTTCTACGGAATCTACGGGACCTACCCAACCTACGAAACTTAGCATGGTGTTTTTTAAAATCGCCTGCAATAAAATAAAAAATTACCGGAATCGTCTTCCCTTAGTTCTGTCTCCGTCTCCACAACATCCGTCGTCGTTCACTATAAAACACAAGAGCAAAATCAAAACTTAAAATCGACGTTCCTTCGTCACTGTTTGGCTCACCGAGCTCCGGTTAAATAGATTCACGATGTTTTCACAAACGAATATTTTTCCTTGCAGTTGGGTACTTTTAATTGATAAGTGTTTGGCTTCAAGGGTGTACTTCGTATGTTTGAACTGCCTATTTTGAGACACACTGTTTCTCTATCTGGACTGTGCCAAATTTATTTGTTTCTGGATCGAAAAAATCGTATATATATATACGACCGGCTTTGAGCAATGCATTAATTTTTTCAATTTGCACTTAAGGTAAAAATTTCGGTTTAGAAAACGTTTAAAAACAGCAGCTCTATTGATCTTTAATATAGCTAAAAGGATACATGCATGCAGACAGTTTAAGACTGTTGGGGGATATAAGAACCCCTTCGTATAATCTATAACCTATACGAATTAGTTTAAACATAATACATACTTTGAGTAATTTTAATTAAAAAAAATAAAAAATGTTTCATTCTTGAAGAAAGTAATTAATTGTGCCTTATATAGTTATTCTAAATCGAAAAAAGATGTAGGAAACTTCAAACAGGACTCAATATAATTACAGATATTTGTAAGCAGCTAAAAAAGCTACTTTACTGTCATTGTCATCACGTGTGTATTGTAAGATAGGCTGCCGACATACTATATGAGAAAGTAGCCTTTTTGTTACTGCCCCCATTTTTAATTTTTAATGGTTTAGCGGCCCTTGCATATTAATTGCTCACATGCATACTTGAGTCATTTTATCATATAAATAATTAAATATAGCTTAGGAACTTGGCGGTTGGCCATGCACATTCATAGCTCTTTGAGAACTGTTGTCGAATCCATGGAGATTAAGTTGGTCATGGCTGGAAACTAGAACAAACTGATTTCCACGATTCCCTGTTTGGACAATAAGACCAGGTATGGCCAATTGAGGATAATTTAATTTCACAGAGGGAAGTATGAATTCTAGCACTTTGAATTAAAGCTTCCTTTTTCTCGCGATGTACTGGCGAACGAAGCGGAGATTCTAAGTGCCGAACTCTTTCTTCGTAGTCTTGGGAGCTCGGGGAGTTTGGCTTCACTGGTATAAAGGCCGACGGATGCTAGTTCGGATCCACGGTACCCAGTTGTTGACTCCCTTTGGTCTCAGACGAAGCAATAGTTGCTTTATTGGTGTTCTGTGGTGTCATACCAACAGGAAACATGGTAACCGAAGCACTCAAATGTTGACTTGAGAGTGCTTGCTGGTTGCCCGATGTTAGGTCATCATTGGAGATGATGGTGCTTGTGTTAGCCGGAGGTGTATCAAATTTGGGATAACTTGTATTGAGTGAATTCACTCGCTCGTGACTAAATGCTGGAACTTGCTGGTGACCTGATAGTGAATTACCATCACGAGATTCATCGTCACGAGCGGACATGGTGTCCAAATTGGCTAAACTTGATTCAAGATTAGCTGAACCGATAGTGCCAGCACCATGGTTACCAAATTGTGCTGACTGATCGTTTGACGATGGGTGAGTATAAAAAATCCCGTTAGACTTTTTACCCACATTTACTGGTCCACTTGTTTGTTGCAATGTTGATGCTTGTTGGGTATTCCGTGGAGTACAGTGAGGATCAATAGCGTCCCACTGAGTTGGTTCAGCCTTGACATCGTCGCTTGATGCTTGCGAATCAATTAGCTGGGTAACCGGTTGCCATGCTGATGATTGATAGTTACTGGGCAGTTGTTCTTTACTAGTAAAAGGTACCATGCTGCTTGGTCCCAACTGCGGTGTATCAGGTTGTACAACGTCTGAACGTAAAGCCTGATTAATTTCCTCGTTGTTTATAGAAAATCCAGGCTGAGACGTTTCAGCGGTATTGTCAGACGTGAGGGATGGACCAAGTTTCCTTTGTGCGGACTGGGTTTCTCCAGGATTGCCTGCCACTGGTACATACGATGAAGATGTTGGAATGGAATTCTGTGCCGCAGATTGGTTCTCAGCTAGGTCCTCTGTTGACGTCCCAGCACCAGCTGGTGAAAATAGATGAATTTGATTCTGTGCCAAGAACTTTTGGCCGTCTTCCAAAAAGGACCCTTGACTTGGAGCGGCAGGTTTAGTGGCTGGAAAAAGGTTGTGCCCAGGAGAAAAACGTTCACCAACATTGTTGTTGGTGGTGTTCATCATCTCTAAAGATGGCGGAGGCAAATGTGCCCAGTTTACATCACCCTTGATATTGGACGGTGGAAATTTGCTTGATTCTCCAAGATCCATTCCCGGTAGGTACAAGGAGCTGCTTTGACCTACTGGTTTGCTGGTTGTTAAACCTGGTGGGTAGAGAGCCGGCGTTACACTCTGCGTCGATGGACCAGCGGCTTGGTCAATAGCATCATTCACCATTGTTGGTGGATATAGGCCAGAAGTTGTAGATGGAACAGCTGGAAAAGCGTTGCGTTCAGTAGGATATAAATTGCTGGCAAGTTCAACTGGTTGTTTTCCAATTGGATCGTAAGTTTCAACAACGTCTTGGCCCGGTAATGTTTCGCCAGAGGTCTTACTCTGGTTACCCAATTCAGTATTGGGTCTAGGAATACCACTGAATGCCATAGCTGAATCAGAAAATACTGTGGCTGTGTCCCCAAGTGAATAATTTTTCTGATCGAAATCAGGAAAAGTTGAACTCGATGGCGGTGCGTTCAGGTTTTGAGCTGAAGATGCATGGCAGGTGTTTTGGTCTCGACTAGAAGGTGGTTCAACTTGAGATGGTGCCGACTCATTGTGGTCGAAAGGCCATTTCCCTACTTTAGGTTTTTTCTCTGATGCTTCTGTATGCTGAAAAGAATATTGTGCATCGGTTTTGATCGAGAAACCAGGCACTCCATCTCCTGCTGCAAAAGAAGGAAATCTTCGGCTCTCCTCATGACTAGAACCAAAACCTTCGAAAGGATCATTCTGGTGCTGCCCGGAAAACAACTGGGACGTTCCACCACCAGGAGTAAATGATTTCGCCACGTTAAACAGGTCGTTTCCAGTATGGGCAGAAGGCTGTGCTGGCAAATTTGACCCGTAAGATGGTGGAGTTCATGTTGCATGGTTTTCAGCATCCGAGAGCTGTTTGGCATGGCGTGTTTCTTTGGTAGTTGAAGCACCAGCTTCACTAAAGAGTTGAGTTGTTGAATATCGCTCCTGTGCCCCATATGATGGTTCTTGCATCGACATGCCGTGGTCTCCTACATTTTGACGTGGATGTGCATACGAGCTCTCATTTGGTGGCTCAAAGTTTTTTAAAGCACCAACTTCGACTCTTCCACCAGACGAATACGTCGTTGAACAAGTTGTTGAAAACTTAGTTCAAGCAACTGTTGAAGTTAAAGCACCAAACTTTAACTTCAACAGTTGCTTGAACTAAGTTTTCAACACAAACCTGGCTGGCGATACGAAATGTTGCTCGGCTGCATTTGACGCTGGTGGCAAGGCCGGGAACGATGTTTGATCCCTGTTAGGCGTAAAGAAACTGTGGCTCACACTATGAAAGGGTGCAGTGCCGGAACCAGATGAACCAAAGCTGTCAAAGAACTCGTGTGCCGACGAGGCAATTTTCCGTTTCGTAAACCGCCAGTGTCACCAGTGACAATCAGTGTCACCATTATTAGCGTGCGTCACATCCGGTGAGTAATTACGTAAGTGTAATCTGCTATGCTGACAATCTCTGAATGTGTATGTTTTAAAATGGCGGTGGTGAATGATTTTGAAGAACTTTTTAACACGGTTATCAATGATGTTGACCGTCAAATTTTGTCTAAGTCGCTATCGAAAGATCAGGAAGAAAATCTGAAAGTGAAAGCGATGAAAAGGCTACCAGAATGCTGCGAAAACTCGGTAGAAAGTTTCCATGCATCTGAAGGTAATAAATTCAAATTATATGTTTCCACACGGGATGTATCAGCCAATGATTTCGAAGAATGGATTTCGGAATTTCAGGAGATCAACAGTGTTACTTTAAAAGTTAAAGCTAAAAAGAAACCAAGCAAACTATACAAGTTGCAGAACTACTATCGTTGCCATCACAACACGCGGATTATCAGCCCACAAAAAGACCCCCAACGAAGGCTGCAGAGTAACCCAACAGCCAGAGTCAAGAACACAAATTGCCCCTTTCAGCTGGCTATGAAAATAGATGTATTTGGTAAGTGTTTCATAAGCGTTGAATGGGAACATAATCATTCGACTGAGAATTTGGAGGCTTTTAACTTCAAGGACTTGACAACTGAATGTGTGGATAAAATTAAGAAACTGTATCAAGCTGGGCACACACCTTGCTCAGCCAGACAACAGTACCTACAGGAAGTTAAAGCTATGTGCAAGGATGATATGGAATTTCACGTAAAAAAGGCGGATCGTTCGATCACTCCACGGCGAAGAGACTTTTGCTATATTTACGAACAATATGTCCAGGAAAAGTTTGGTGGTAAAGGTAATGCCATGTATGAAAGACTTGTTCATGTATTAGATAACTATAAAACATCAAACCCAGAAGCAAGTACAAGCTATCAGCTCTATGGGGGTGAGAATATTCCACTTCTTGTAGTCATCATCTCACCATTAATGAAACGTGTACACAAGTACGTTGAGCAAAGTGGTGAACTTGTTTTTATTGATGCGACTTCAAACACAGAGGAGCATAATTTAAAAGTGTTCTTTCTGTGTACACACTGTATTGCTGGGGCATTACCATGTGGTATATTAATTACATCTGATGAGAAGGAATCCACATTAAAGAGTGGTTTTGAAATGCTGAGAAAATGTCTACCCAATGATGCTTTCTTTGGAAGAGGGGCTGATGGCCCAGCAGTTATTATGACAGACAACTGTGACGAAGAACGGACTGCCATAAGATCAACATGGCCATGTGCAAAACTGTTACTTTGCACATTTCACATCTTGCAGCAAGTGTGGAAATGGCTACATGATAAGAATCATCTTATTAATCAGTTTGACCGACCTACCATAATGAGCATGTTTAAGAAAGCTGTTTATGCTGAATCGGAAGACTTGTTTGAATCCAGCTATGAAGAACTGCTAAGTAATGCTTGTGATGATTATGAAAATGCCTTTCAGTACTTTGAAAATCTTTACGAAGATCGAATAGAATAGACCGTGGAAATCAAACCAACAACTTTGTTGAATCGCAATTCCTGATTGTAAAGGATGTCATTTTGAAGAGAACGAAGGAATTCAATGTTGTTGCACTTGTTGAACGATTAGTTACAGACTTGGAACACCACTACAAAGAAAAGCTACTCTCTGTAGCAGATGGAAGCTATGATGGGTACTACCGGAGTCGCTTTTTTGGCAAAGAGAAAAGGAAAAAAGATGGAAGTCGGGGCTATATAATACCGAGTGAAGATGAGAAACTTGCATTCCTAGAGAAAGTAAAAAAGTTTCCAGGTGATGTTTTTCAAGTTCCAAGTCTTACAGATGCTGACAAATGGTAAGACTATAATAAATCAGTGTCAAGGACTGACTCTACGGCCACTTTTCTCAACAAAATGCGAAATATTTTGCCGTTTTCTTTTGAATCGCGACCTCTCGAATAAATTATTTCTACTTGATTGCTCACAATCAAAAGAAGAACTCGTAGAATCAGGCCTTTAGTAACAAAATTTTGTTGTAAGTAGCATTATCAGATTATTAGAGTATGATATTTTTTAATGTATTTCTAAACAGTTGCACTCTCTTTAATAACAAGGTACATGGTTGATATGTCACTGGGTGTTTGTACGTGTGAAACAGGAAAAGATAGATCTCCATGTAAGCACCAATATCTCTTGTGGGTAGCCAAGTTGGCAAACTGTTTAAACTTTGTACCTGTTTCCTGTCCAGAACTGAGACAACAGTTTGCATTAGTTGCACTTGGCCGAACACTTCCCACTTCCAAGTACACCTGTCTTCGTCACATGGATCCTGCACAGGATTTGGTATTAAATGAAGCTGAAGATGTTCTTCCAGAGCAAGGAAAAGATGGAGATATTGATGAGATGCAAGCAGAGGTACATTCAAATTATTTAGTGCTTTAATACCATTATATCCTGGGTTATACAGTCTTGACCTGTGTGAAGTGGATGCCTATATACACATACATATATATTACAGTGTCATATAAATATACATATATGACACTGTCATATAATTATACATATATTACAGTGTCATATAAATATACATATATATAAATTACAGAGTCAGCTTCAAACAACCTGTCCACTTAAATGGGGTCCACTTAGTTCAGGTTTGACTATGCAACACAGACATTGCTGGCAGTTAACAGGTTAATATTTCACTTCACCTATGCGCACAATTCAAAATATCATATAACACTTTTTGTGTTTTAAGCTAAGCAAACTGATTATTTCAAGTGAGAGGCAGCACTCTCCTATAGCAAAACAAGCCAAATTTCTTCAAATTCATTAAAGTTTAAATTAATTTTAACTTAATATTGCAGAAATGTGACCAATTCCCTTCCTCAGAAGTAAATTGCAACAAAACACAAAGTCTGATCAGTCAAGCTCAAATTTCCCTCCAGGAAAGCTGCAATCTACTTGCTGAGAAGCTCACAGAGAGTCAAGACAAGAAGATGGCTGCAGGAGTTCTGAAGTTTACCGGCAAGCTTCAGAGACTTATAAAATCAAATACTGGCAGTGGAAACCTCACATCAGCACTTTTTAATTTTGGGATGTCCGAACTTAGCAAGTCCAAAAATGGGAAAAAAATTAAGGTCCAACCAAATCGAAAAAGAAAATCGGGCAATGGTAGCCGTCAAGCAGTTGGTAAACAACACTCATTCAGACTGGAGCCATTAGTAATCCCCAAGAAGAAAGCCAAACGTAGTCACAATTTTTCAGTCGCTGTGAGAGAAAACACCCCTATGGCTAAAAAATGTGGCTCACACACAATGAAGTCAAAAACTAGCCACCACACATGAAGTACTCTAGTATGTCATTTTGAACTAATCTGGTTACATATCTTTGTATAGCTTAGTTCATGGTTATATTTAATGACATTTTTGAAGATGAGGTAAAGTCAGTTTTAAGCATATTTTCCATGCATAACAAATCTTGGTCTTAACTTTGGGACCGAGGGTTTAGAATTAATTAAATTAAATAGTAACATGACTAGTAGAATAAGAACTTTGAGAACTTTAATTAGTAATTAAAAAAATAACATGAACGTACTCTTCCAAGTCTTTATACTTGTAGTGATGTTTATATTGCATTTGCCAACACTATCAATTGTTATAAAAAGCTACATTTGTAACAAACAGCTTTAACAATGTTTCAGTTTCATATGCCGTTTTTGGCTAGTACTATTAATTTGTGACCCACAGACCTCACATGTTACTTTTGCCTTGGTATGTGTCACTTGGTGTCTTCCTAGGTTTCGCTTACTGTGAAATGCTTTCCCACATTCATCGCATTTAAATGCTTGTTGGTGCTCCTTAACAATATGTGACTTGAGGAATTCTTTATGAGAAAATTCTTCACCACAGTCACTGCAATGCATCTTGCCACATCCTTTTTCATGATATCTCAGATCCCGTTGACGTACAAATGATTTGTCACATAACTTGCATTTCTGCTCTACCTCAAGTAAACCGGTGTCCCAGTCTTCCCTTTTCCTCTGAGCTTCATCCCTCCATTCCTGCAGAGAGAAAATATTTATTTTGGGTCAATCCTATTGCCCAATGATCCTAAGGGAGAAAATGTCTTTGATGAACTATGATAAAATCTAAACAATCATTCCATTTAATATCCACAGCTCCTTGGGAACAAGATTTTAAAAATTAATAACGTCTGAACATTCTGATTTTTTGAGGGGATTGTTAAAGGGCAATTTCTGAGGAGATCAATTTTTTTTAAATTTCCAAAGGTTGGAAGGAGGAAGGTGCTACCTCTAAACAAGGGGGGGGGATCCCAAGGGGGTCTATGAGCTTGAAAAAAAATAAATTTCTGAGTTTTACAAAAAATATTGAATTTCTCGAGGTCGTCCAGAAAACTGTTTCCAAAGGGGGGTAAAATCCGTATCTTTGTCACTCAAGGGGGGGGGTGTCAGGAAATTAAATGGAAGGGCCTATTGTTTTGCTCCTGAAACCTGTAAATATTGTTTACAAATTATTACCTTCCTTCTGTATGTACCAAGTTTCCGCCACATCCCTGAAGCAACTTTACTTATTTTCCCTATTTCATGTTCTTGCCCAAGTCTACTTGCTATCTCAGGCTAAAGAAATATCGCAACATAGTTTGTATTATTACTGTAGTAAAATGTTTCGCGTAAAAATTTTCTGGTAAATATATACGCAATAGACAATATCTCCAAATTGAGAAAAATTTTTACTTTTTGTTTTCTCTAATATGCCCTTTTATTAATACTCTTTATTCAGATATTGTCGAACGCTGGATTATTACAATACAACAACGCAACAAAAGAACAACGTGCCTTCACGAGTAAAATCGCAGAATTATGCAAATTTTTCTCTAGACTAGTTTCGTGTTTTAGTATTCTGCGTTGATTTACTGCTGTATTTAAATAAACTAATTGATCTTATAGAAAATTTGATACGTACAGCAACTTCTTGATTGAATTGATTCCATCCACTTGGTTTTTTCAACGATTTCTTGTGGGCCTGCTCATCCGCCATGTTCACAAACATGCTAAAGCGCGCGAGCCTTTGTTATTAATATTCGAATTCTGTTTCATATTCACCGGATGTGACGTACGCTAATAGTGGTGACACTGATTGTCACTGGTGACACTGGCGGTTTACGAAACGGAAAATTGCGCCGACGAGTGTTGATTGTTCGACATCTTATTTTTACAAGGCTGATCTGAGCTTCACTAAAGAGTTGAGCTGTTGAATATCGCTCCTGTGCCCCATATGATGGTTCTTGCATCGACATGCCGTGGTCTCCTACATTTTGACGTGGATGTGCATACGAGCTCTCATTTGGTGGATCAAAATTTTTTAAAGCACCAACTTCGACTCTTCCACCAGACGAATACGTCGTTGAACAAGTTGTTGAAAACTTAGTTCAAGCAACTGTTGAAGTTAAAGCACCAAGCTTTAACTTCAACAGTTGCTTGAACTAAGTTTTCAACACAAACCTGGCTGGCGATACAAAATGTTGCTCGGCTGCATTTGACGCTGGTGGCAAGGCCGGGAACGATGTTTGATCCCTGTTAGGCGTAAAGAAACTGTGGCTCACACGATAAAAGGGTGCAGTGCCAAAACCGGTTGAACCAAAGCTGTCAAAGAACTCGTGTGCCGACGAGTGTTGATTGTTCGACATCTCATTTTTACATGGCTGATCTGAGCTTCACTAAAGAGTTGAGCTGTTGAATATCGCTCCTGTGCCCCATATGATGGTTCTTGCATCTACATGCCGTGGTCTCCTACATTTTGACGTGGATGTGCATACGAGCTCTCATTTGGTGGATCAAAATTTTTTAAAGCACCAACTTCGACTCTTCCACCAGACGAATACGTCGTTGAACAAGTTGTTGAAAACTTAGTTCAAGCAACTGTTGAAGTTAGTTAGTTAGATTAATAGCCTTTTTGCGCATATTGATGAATTTCGAATATTTATGAAAGAATCTGATATTGATGTTATCTCAATTAACGAAACAAAGCTTGATTCTTTAATTGGAGATAACGAAGTCCATATACCCGGCTATGAAATAGTAAGGAAAGATAGGAGAACAAATGGGAGACATGGGGGTGGTGTTTGTTTCTATGTAAGATGCAACCTTAATTACAAAATTTGCGATGATTTAAGCTCTGACGATTTAGAATATTTAACAGTTGAAATAACTAAGCCTCGGTCTAAATCTCTTTTAATTAGCACTTGGTATCGACCTCCAGATCTGCCAACGTATTACTTTGATTATTTTGAGAAAATAATACAGAAGGTAGATTTGACGAATCATGACTACTTTCTATTAGGTGACATAAATGTGGACCTTATGCCGGGAGCAACATCAGCCAATGCTAATAAATTAAATGATATATTTGAAATTTTTGGCCTCACACAACTAATTAAAGAACCCACTAGAACTACACCATATTCCTCAACGCTAATTGATCTTTGCGTTACAAATGCCCCAACAAAGATCATAAACTCAGGCATAATTGATCTTTCCATAAGTGATCATGTTTTAGTTTATATGACACATAAGGTTCATTATAAGAAAGCGGAAGCGCGATTAGTTGAAATAAGGAGTATGAAAAATTTTCATAGAGGAAACTTTATACGAGATTTAAAACAACAGCAATGGTTAGAATTAAATTTGTGCAATGAACCTAATGAAATGTGGGTAAGATGGAAAGGGATGTTACTTAATTGCATTGATAAACATGCTCCACTCAGATTAAAAAGAATTGGGAAAAAGAAATCCCCTTGGATAACTAATGAATTAAAACAAAAAATGCGCCAGAGAGATTTTTTGAAAAAGAAAGCAAAAATGACTGGAGACACATTGATTTGGCAACAATATAAATCATTAAGGAACTCTACGAATAATGAAATTAAAAAAGTGAAAAGTCAATACTTTACTGATAACCTTGAGACCAACCAGAACAATCCAAAGTCAACTTGGAAACTTATTAATGAATTAAGCTCTCGTAATAATTCTAGTCATAAGACCATATCTAATATTACAATTGGCGAAGAAACAATAAATGCGCCTAAGGACATAGCCGAAATGTTTAATTCTCACTTTGCAAAAGTAGGTGAGAATTAGCATCTGATATACCACCATCTGCTGTGGAACCGGAGGTTTATATTGAGCCAACTGAAACCACATTCTCATTGACACCCCCACAATAAATACAGTTTGTAGTAAATTAAGAACGATTAACGAAAAGAAAGCATCAGGTCTGGATAAAATACCCTGCAAACTTTTAAAACTTGCAGCTGAAATCGTTGCCCCATCATTAACTCTAATATTTGATAAGATTATAACTACTGGCATATTCCCAACGGAATGGAAGTTAGCAAGAGTTACGCCGATTTTAAGAAAGGTAGAAAAGATGATATGGACAACTATCGACCAATATCCGTAATTTCATGTGTTGCTAAGATTTTTGAAAAACTGATTTTTGATCAGCTATATGAGTATTTAAATGCTAATAATTTGATATCCAAAATTCAATCCGGTTTTCGATCATTGCACAGTACATTAACTGCCTTATTAGAAGCAACGGACAAATGGTCAATCAACATAGATAATGGCCTACTCAATGGAGTGGTCTTTATCGACCTCAAAAAAGCATTTGATACCATTGATCACACCATTCTCTTACGGAAGTTAAGAATATATGGTGTTGACCAAAGCGGCATCAAACTCTTTGAATCATATCTAAGCAACCGTGGCCAAAGATGTTGCGTAAATGGTGAATTATCTGAGGCTGTTAAAATAAGTTGTGGTGTGCCTCAAGGTAGCAACTTGGGGCCACTATTGTTTTTAATTTACATTAACGATTTGCCTAATTGTCTGGAAAGAGCCTCTCCGAGAATGTTTGCTGATGATACCAATATAAGTATTGCGGCAAAATCTGTAACAGAGCTTGAATCAATAATTAACTCTGAATTGAAAAATCTTAATCAATGGCTCATAGCTAACAAACTGAGTCTAAATGTCGCTAAAACGGAATTTATGATAATTGGATCTCGTCAACGGTTAATGATACACAATAATGAACAAATAAACATTGAAATTGACGGGAAGATAATCAAGAGAGTTAAAGATACGAAATCATTAGGATTACAAATTGATGAGCACCTAGTATGGGCGCGACACGTTGAAGGCATTTCCAAAAAGGTTGCGTCGGCAATTGGTGCTCTTAAAAGGATACGCCAGTTCATAGATACAAGCACTGCCCTCAAAATTTACGGAGCTTTGATTCAACCGTATTTTGATTATTGTAGT